TATCTGTTACATGTGAGAAGTTTCTCTGGATGTAATTATGTAAGCTCTATATTGTATTGTTTTTTTATAGAAATCCCCAAACTTCATTCAGGAATTTTGCAAGAACTGAATGACTTTCACTCAGTCACACTGAAGTATGTGTCAGGAGCGTATGGGATTCTTTCCCTTATTCAAGGTGCCGGCTGTGGAGAAGTGGTAAGATCAAATAACACTTTAACTGCATTTAGTTTTAGTTTTGGCAGCCAATAATCACAATCTGAGCCAAAAAGGTACCTTAAAATCCAGTATTAGGACCACTCTAAATATTTTTAAATTGTGTATGTTTCTTATCCCTATATAAACTCCTCAAAAAAAGATTTCTAAAATATCCAAAACTAACCTAAATGAAAATAAATGTTAGGTTCAACACCAGTTTTTACCTGCAATAATATAAGTCTGATTGATTGGCCTTTTAACTGAATATACAATATTTGAACTAACATGCTGACGTCTGCATCAATTTTCTCCAGCGCCACTTCTCTCTCCTCTGCTGCAGCAGCAGAACTACAGAATGCTATCAAGCACATGGCTAACAAAATCATATTTGAAAAGTTGTACACCCATAAAAATATAATATTTTACATATAACCCAAAAAGTTTACTTAATTGAAGAGATTATGTGTTCAGTAGTGACCATTTTAAAGTTACACACTGATTTTTAAACATTGGACCACACTTATTTCAAACTAATGGGATATAGCTGCTTAATATGCAGCCGTGAGGGACAGGGATGTAGTGTCACTTCCTGGCAGGGGTGTGGCTTTAAGTGTTGAAGGTTACATGAAAACTTCATCTAAAAAATTCACCACGTCATATATACCAATGTGATGGATATCCCAGTATAAAATATTGAGGCATGCACCGTCAGTACCGTGAGTGCTGCCCTCAACATCACACACAGCATGCGACATGACGCATTTAAAAATTTGCTGCCATTCATTAATGTAAGCTGTGGTTAGGAACATAGCACCACCACTTCACATATTTTCTCCATCATGAGGTCATGATGGTGCATTAAAAGCATACGGTGGTAAACAGTCAGTAAATACAGCTGTTGGAGTGCTGGTTTGGAAGAAAGAATCTACAATTAAAGTCAACAAGTGAGCAGAGCAGGTGGGCAGCACGACTCAAGGGACGAGGGTCTTTACACCACAACTTTCACCGTAGGCTAAGAGCTCAAATACCATACTGTAGCTTGTAGGAGTGTAAACTCCACAAAGTGAAAACAGATGGTACTAAAAAGCAACACAGGAGAAAAGAAATTGCACATTGTAGACTTGGTTAAAGTTCTTTTTTTCTAAAATATCGAGATTGGAGTTGTACATTTACAAGAATAAAGCTGTGAATTTATGATATTCAATCTGTAAACCAATTTAAATTAGGCTATGGTGGAAATTTTTATTCTGAAAGGATACATCAAGTCTTAAAATTCCAAAAAAAAAAGGTAGAGGACCCAATAGCAGTCTAACAAAAATAAATAAAACAAAAAGGAAGAATAAAAACTTACTTTATTAAATGCCAAAGAAAATCCACAAAAGGCAAAACAAATCACAATGAGAAAAACTGAGACGAAGGCAGGTTGCACAAAGCACAGACACATAGATAGGTTAGACACCTGACAATGAACTGACAACAAGAGGAAAGGAACTTTGAGACTAAATACACAGGGGTAATCAAACACAGGTGAGACTAACAACACAGGTGAAGACAATCAGGGCAATCAAAATGGAGGGAAACCAGATAAAAGGAAAGAAGAAAACTGCAGAAGCCACTGATGAACAGTCTATGGTGGCTTAATAAGACAACATAGGCTGTGATTAGACAAATGCAATGCCATGTCACACCAAACATAGTCTTTGAAGTATTGAGTCTGTGATGATATTTGTATGGTCTTTATTTTACATTTTAGTTTTACTTTCTTTAAGAGTCATTTGTTGCTTGTACCATAAATAACTTTAAATCCAGATCGGGTCACATCTGGATGCAACTTCACACGTGGTTTAGAGCCAGATATCCGTCTATTTTTTAAAAACTTTGACACATTATTTTATGCCTAACATACAGTATAGAGTTGTATTGTTTTAACATTAAATGTTTTCTATTTGGTTTCAGGCTGGCGTAAAAGCAAATGTGTGCAAAGACCTTGAAGAAAACTTGAAATGTGCATTAGATAAAGTCTTTGAGCCCATGATAAAGTCCTATAGGGCTTTTAACAAGTGCCTCATGGAGGGTGTTGAAAAATCCAATAGTTCAAGGGAAAGTGACTTGAAGTCCTTCTTATATCCCGTATGTATTTGAATATTTTACTCCTTCATCCAAACCATCGATTTTTCACTTGATATTCAAAAGTTAATCATTTATGGAAATGTTTGTTTTTGTTTCAGAAAAGAATAAAAGGAAGAGCTTTATACGGGAGATTGAAGGCATTGTTGCAAACAATGGTGTCTACAAACCAAAAAAAGGGAAACAATACAACCTCAATGAGAAATTAGCTTCAAAGCTGATGGAGAGCATTGATGAGGAATTTAGAAAGACCTTCCCGTAAGAACGTACTAAATGAGGAAAAGATAATACCTCTTCAAATGGCGATTATAATAATAATATAATAATGTGTGCAATGGTTATTTAAAGTAATTAACATAATTGAATACAAGTATCTAAATGAAATTTCTAAATTTAACTTTGTCAGTATTTGATCAATGAAAGATTTACTTGTTAACATGTTTCAGAAATGAATCAAAATGTGAACCGTTCAACGGGGCCATCAGTTCCTTTTCACTCGGCACAGGGACTCTGGTTGAAAAGTACAGAAAGTACAAAGGTGTGCAGCTGCAACTGGAATTTCTCAGGACAGAGGTAAGAGATGGTGATGGTACCATCTTATCCAACAGTTTTGTTTTAAGCTGTTTGTCAAAGTGAAGGAGACTCAAGAACGAGGTGAAAAAATCAATTGAAACACGTTTGTGATTAACGTACTTAATGAAGAAAAAACATTTAAGAAAGAAACCAAATAAAAGATCTTTTTTTTTGCGTTTATTGTTGATATTCATTTCTTATGTAGAACACCATCAATAAGGTACATGTTAGCGATGCAGATATACATGTTTTTGTTTTTAACCTTCTGTTGTAGGAAGAAAAAATTAAGGCAAAACTCGACAAAACCATCCGGGAGCGAAAGAAAGAAATCTACAGCAGCCTGACGACTTCAATCGAGGAAAACATGCAGAAGTGCTATGAAGGTAAGAAAGAAGATGTTGGCATTTGAAACCTGACACTTAATCAGATACATGTAATTAATGTCCATTTAAAACCATTTTCTGTTTCACTGTAGATGCACAGCAATGTAAAGGCAAAGGCTCCTTGAATGCCATGAGGGTCGTCATTGAGCAGCATGTTCGTGCCAAGGTCGACATGTTCAAGGAGGCTAAAACTGTGATGATGTTAAATCTGACAGAACTAATGGTTTGTAATGGTTCATAATTAACATACAATACCTTATATGATTGTTATATAGTAAAACACGTTGTGTTGCACATCTCAATCTTTGTGTATGATTCTATATTATTATTCACATCAAGTCTTTTCTTCATTGAAATAGAATGTACATCATTCTCAAGATAGTTTTTGTGACTGCGGTTTTACAAAAAAGCAACTTTTTATAAAAAATGAAAACAAACACAAAAGCTTTTTTCTATTTAAGACTTATCTGCTTTCTGAGCAGCCCAGAAAAAACATACATTTAAACTGTTAATGTATCATCCAGTAAATCCTAAAGAAAAGTGTGCTGGTTAACACAGTGTTAAATATTTTAAATCTTATTTAGGAGGTCATCCAGAAGATACTGATGGAAACACTTCTGAGGTCAATGGACCTATCACTCAATACAGATGATCAATCCGTTCCAGGTAAAGTGAATGTTAACAAGTACATTTGTTTACAGACAAAACACCAGTGAAGCGATTACAACTTTGCATGTCAAAGTGGTTTGATTCTGATTAAATGCTTGATAGATGTAAACTATGAAGTTGGAAGAACTAATCAAAACTGTTTTTATTTGGGTCTAAGAAATATTGCACAAGTAATCCTAGTTTATGTGGATATATCCTGTCATTTTTATAGCACTGATGATAACTGGTGAGAGGAAGTTACAGGAACATTATGCAGATTAGAGTGTGCTCTTGAACAACATAGTTAAAGCAACAAGATGTGACTTTTCCACCTTTAAACAGAAGTGTCAAAGGTCGATTTAATAGCAGAAGAACTTTCAACAGGGAGAAAGACGTCTCTGCCCCGACCGCCTGTTTTCTGCAGTCTGTAACTTTGGCAGTTGGCCAAGGTCATCTCATGAAGAGTGTGTACGGCTGTTTGGAGACTAGTTCACACAAAAGCCTTCAGTTACTGTATAAATAGAAACCAGTTAGCCGTCTCTGCGCGGTTATGCAAATTCACATAGTCTAGAAAGGGTTAGGAGTAACATGGGTGACAGTTGCACTCAGGGACCTTCTGTGGGTGCCAAAGTGCACCAAACTGAAATATTGTTGCTTTAACACAGAAAGTGCACACCAAAGTGCAAAGACATTTTCTTCCGAGTTTAAAGTTTAACTTTTTGTGTTTGAGATGTCAAAGAGGAGCTTGAGACCGTGACAAAAAAATACAAAGCACTGAAGAAAAACACACATGAAGGAACATCACCAGTCAGGTAACAACTTTGTTTTTAAAGTAGATAATGCTCTGATTTTAAACTGTAAGAAATTGCTTCACTTATTTTTATAACAGTTGCTAACAATGCTTCTATTCACACTAGTGCTGATCAACCCGGCCCGTCATCTGCACAGGTAAGTTTAAGTAAAAGTGATGATTAAAAGTTAACATTCTGGTAGACAATGAAATGGTAATATGAAAGTTATCAGTAGAATATCACAACCTTTGTGTTTAACTCTCTTGTGGATATTTCAGGGTTTTAGATGAAGAGAAACAGCTGAGGCCTGTTTAACCACTGAGGATCCCACAGGGAACATTGAAAAGTCAAACGAGGCTTCTGGATATCAATCAATCAAGCAAGATTTATTCATATAGCACCTTTCATACAAAGTCAAAGTGCTTTACAGCGACTGAAAAACAAAAATAAACATAAAATAGTGACAAAACAGGGTAGAAATAAAAATGGATTTAGAAGTAGAGAAGTAGAGACTAATGCACACCAATAGGAATAAAAATAGTTAAGTTAAAACTGAAAAGATTAACAAAAATATAGTTGAGATAATAAGAGGGTAAAGATTGCCTTATAGACAGTTAAAATAATTTAAAAATTAATATGAAACCTCACAGGCAGCCTGTGTAAAGATTTTAAAATTGGTGTATTGTGTGCTCTCCTTCAGGTCTTTGTTAGCACTCGTGCTGCCGCGTTTTGAATTAAAACGTACATGTGGCTTAAAATTAAAATCAGAATCAAGTAAAACAGATACCAGAACAAATATTTATTATTTTCTCCCTGAAGTAGCCAGCAAACTTTTGACATTTAGAACCTGGAAGCTGAGCACTGTGGTTAACTGTGGGATTGAAAAGTGAATCAATGGTACTGATTTAGTCTCAACCTTTTTGTCAGGTTGTTAATTCTGCTCTCTTTGAGTGGTGTGTTTAGATGTTTGTTGTGAGTTTCATACATACAGATGTCATATTAGTGACAGTTTTCCTTTTGATTAATTGTGGGCCTCAGGCCAGAAATGGCTGAAGGTGGGGGGGTGTTGTGTTTTTCATGTTAATCGTTTCTTTTTTGGGCCTTTCGCCTTTATTAGATCGGACAGCTGAAGAGAGACAGGAAACGGGAGGAGAGAGTGGGGGGATGACATGCAGCAAAAGGCCGAGGTCAGATTCAGTCCCACAACTGCTGCTTAGGAATGTAATCGCTGTACATGGGGCGTGACATAACCGTTATTTGTTTCTACCATTCTTTCAGCAAGACATCAACTTCTGCAATAATTCAGCTTTTTGTTATTCTTGAATATGTGTTAACAACTTTTTGTTAGTGTTTTTATTTCATGAATTTAGAAGTGGATGATTTGATGTACCTGCTACAGTTTCACTGATTATTACGGTGTCAAATTAAATCTAATAAAACTTTAATCTGTGTAATGATATATTAGAAATAAGAGTTAATTTTATTATCAGACCAACTTTTCTGGCTTCCTGATATGAACTGTACAATGTTTGTTTTGTTTTTAAGTCTTCATTGTTTATAAATGCAATATGGCACATCATGCAATAAAACTCCTGATTAAAATGTTGTTGCCTTTTTGTCTTTATTGTGAATTTGGTATGAAAGTCCTGCAGCTGCCCAAAAGATTTCCATTCAACCCAAACGTGCTGTAAATACACAGAAGCTGTCATTTAAGAGACACAAACCTAGAAAACAAACTACTGCATACAACAGCTCACCTCTTTCAAGCAGAGAACTGTCATCATGATAATATCTGTCTCTCCATACTGTAATCTGTTCTGCACATGTCAAATTTACAAATGATCCCTACACTCATGTTCACTTCATTTGGCTGTCTACTCGCCGTTATATTGTATAGTTTCTGCTGATAATATGTATACACTCATGCACTTTTACTTATGTCAATACTGTCCATTTACAACTCTGTTTTTGCACATTTACATTTAATCTTTCATATTAAATTTACAACCATTTATGACTCTGTTTTTGCACATTTGCATTTAATCTTCCATATTTAATCTTCCTATTTAAGACTAGTAATGCTTAGTTAAATCCTGGTTGTATATATTCACATTCTTAGTTTTGATATTTTTAGTACTTATTTACTTTGTATTTAATATTATATTATGTTCAGATTTGCTAACATTGTGTTTTTTACTCATATTGTGTGTTTGGATAACCTGCTGCTGTAACGCCACAATTTCCCAGTTTGGGATCAATAAAGTAATTCTAATCTATTCTATTCTATTCTATTCTATTCTATTCTATTCTATTCTATTCTAATCTATTCTATTCTATTCTATTCTATATAAAGTGCTTTATATTTACAGGGACTGTTGCAAAAACAAAATAATATTAAATCATGTTGCAGGCAAGTTTTCGCTGTTCATATTTATTTCTTATTTTTCTACTTTTGATGTCTTTGTGAAATCTCAATTCAACAATAAAAAATACACTTTTTGCTGCTCTGATGTTCAACAATATTATCCTTGTCTTTGCATTAATTTAGGACACCCTGTTCTATGAAATTACGATAAATTAACTTCAATGATAAATTACAACAAACAATGTAGGCTTAATCTAATAGTTGTGTTATAAGTCTACACATAAGTCTAATATAACTTACTAAAGAACAATAAGAATAATCTATAATAATAAATATTTTTACAGAATGCATTAGCTACAAAATAAAGCCGCTCCTGTAAGATACCGCTGAGTAACCATGGTAACATACAGTTCCTGTTTCCACCTGAGAGAGGGAAGTTTTTCCTAAAGCCTGCCGCTGTATTTCTACCCTACACCTTGATGAAGGGGACTTCATTCAGCTGCGACATGGTGGTGACCTTCTCCAACAAGCAGAGGGAACTGGCTGCAGCTGCAATCACCACAATCCATGAGAATCCTGTCGAACTAGTAGAGGAGTATAAGTACCTGGGTACCATCTTCGACAGCCTGCTGAAATTCTCCTCCAATTCCGAGGAGATTCTCAGGAAATGTCAGCGAAAATACCTCCTAAGGAAGCTCAATTCCTTTGGATTCAGTAAGAACATTCTTCTGACCTTCTACTACTCCTTCATTGAGAGATTTATTACTTTTTCTATAACCTGCTGGTTCCACTCCACCACCCTCCAGAACAGAAACCGCCTGCAGAGCACGTCACAGTCTGCTCTAAGATCATTGGACTACCTGTACCTCTCACCAATGCAGACTCTCAGCTGTGAACTTTGCTTTTTTACTTCCTTCCATTTGCCATGCACCTTAACTGCCTTTGCTTTATCTGGTCTCATGCACTACATCACTTTATTCTATCCTTTCTATTTCAGTATTCATACAGTTCTGGTTACTTTATTCCTGTTGTCTCTTATCCATCATTGCACTACAGTCACTTTATTTATCTCATTTTTACCTTTACAGTTATATTGTATATAATAGTTCTGTTGTTCCATTGTTCACCATGCACCTTATTAACTTATCATTTAGTATTTGCCTACTTGCACATAGCTCTGTATATATATATATATATATATATGTATTTCTCGTTTACTGCACATAGTTATGGTTACATCTGTTTACATCTGTTAGTCCGATCACTGTCTATATCTACTCTTTTATATTTTGTATTTTTAAGTTAAGTTTAAGCTTTAAGTTGTATTTAATGTTTCGTACTTGCACTGTTGTTAATTTACTGCTCTGTGTTCCTTTGAATTGCCCCCCGGGGACAAATAAAGTTTTTTGAATTGAATTGAATTTCGAGTGTGACTTCTCCGTCACGGAGGGGGAGAGTGTAGTGGTTGGTTTGGGACTGCGGTCAAGCCAGCCGCTCCTCGAGTTTACATGGTGAAGTGAGCCGCCCCTAAATTTGAAGTGCTCACGTATTCTGATCTTTATGGTAAATGCTCCGGACTGCAGAGCGAGCAGGAGGAACAGACAGAGAGAGTGAGTCTGTTATTAATCTCCTTTTCCAGACAAAAGTGATAAATGCAGAAGTCTTACCATAAAACTGACTATGAGATACACGTGTATGAAACCGGAGTAAACAGAATACAGTACAGGGAATAGCTTCGGAGGTCGGGAAGTTAGTGTGAGAATTATTCTGCGAGTCTGCGGTAACTTCCGTTTTTCAAAATAAGGGTCAGGGTGTGGTAGCCGGATGTATTCGCATTCACCAAGTCGGACAAGGAAATTAGGCAATACCCCTTAAACTGGCATGTTTCATTATACAACATGAACTACTGCAAATGAATTTTACTTCGTACACGGACCGTGGTTAAATGACTTATTGAGATAGTTTTGTTTTTTTTACTTGATCATCTGGGAGTTTTGATACAGCCATCTGTGGAGCTTTTTGGACTTTTACCATTTTTACTTTCATCATCGTCTACAGACTCCAAAGGAATTGTAAGTAAAGCAGTGTTACATAAGATAAGAAAGGAATAGAGATGTAACTAGTTTTACTAACTCTGACTGGACGTTGTATCTTTGATTAATGTTCTGCATAACTTAAACTTCAAAAGCAGCTTCTGGTTATCTATTTCAATTTGCTACATATTTTTGAATAATGTTACAGCCTCCATCTGTCCTTTGATTTAATGAAATTCATATTAACTGTTTGAAATGTGTCAAGTTGTAAATCTGTTGCTTAAGGTGGCTGCTTTAACCTACGAGGCACAGCAAGAAACACAGAAGCAGGCCCCCTCTCTCTCTCTCTCTCAATAATATCTCGCTTTGACAAAAACAAGTGAGAGAACGTTTTATACTCTGAGGGTCAAATTGTTCTTCTTGCCTTTTTGATAAGAAGAGAGAAGGAGCCACACGGGAGAGACCAGCAGATGGCATCACTACCTAAGAAACCACAACGTGACAAGGAACTCACAGGTATTTCATTTATTTATTGAACAAATAAAATTGAACAAAGATTTTAAAACCTCAGGTGTCAAGGATTCCAAATGGGGGAGAAGAGTTAGGAGAGTTATGACCCCCCCCCCCCAAATAGTAGGCCTATAGGCTGTTATTAACCCTGAAGAGATTGCTTTTCTCTTCTAAGAGAACACTAATAAGGTTGTAATCTCATGCCTTAACTTCTTAAGAGGATTCCACTAAAAAAATAATCTACCCTTGAACCTCTCTGTTAACTTAGCTGTCATTTAATCAATGCAGCCAATCCTGTAGAAGCTATATAACTATTTGTACTTTACCCTGACCCTACCTGGTGTCAGGGCAGACCCCTTCACTTTCAGGTTCAGACGCCCCGTCTCCCTGTACCCATACAGATGATCCAGCCCTGCAGGCAACAGAAAAGGGAGATGAGCAGCGTAGTGTTAAATATGTCTACTTGCGATGGGTCCCCGGGAGTTTATTGTTTTATTACTACAAAACAGGATAAAAATAATTAATTTAAAGAAGAATCCTTAGATGAAACAAAACATGTCTTCAGTCTATACTGCATATGGACAGTTTAAATCATTTCCCTGCTATTGAAAGGGCACTTTGTGCACTTACATGAACATTGGATTGTTAAAATAAGACCCAATTATGTTTTAAACTCTGAAAAACATTTTGCAAGAGCTGTAAAAGCCTGAAGATACTATCTAAGACATTCTAACTGTTTCAGAAGAGAACGGCTCTCTCATGCTCTACATTTATTTCCTCTCTTTGTAAAACGATATTGATACATTTGTCTTTTTTTCTCTACTTTCACTCCAACAGGAGAAGATGTACTGCCTGAAGTGGAAAAAATCATGGCAAGTGTTGAGAGTAGGCTACCTCAGACAGAGCTCAAAGATTTTCTAGAGTAAGTAATACATTTTTTATATTGCATATTATTATTAGTTTTAGCGGACATGCTTACAAAGACATTAGTGACTGATCTCTGGAGTTGAGTCATTCATTTTGCAATGAATTTCTCCTATTCTGACTGTATTCTCTTGACAATGACCTGTGCCCATCACAAGTTAAAATCTGTTATCATTCTCTTTCCCTTTTTACTTATATAAAAACCTACAACCCAATTTCCTAGAAAGTTGGGACATTGTGTGAATTTAAATAAAAACAGAATGTGATGATTTACAAACATTTGGAACCCCATATATAACTGAAACTAGCACAAAAAAGACAATATATCTGTGGGTGAAAAAGTAACATCAGACTCGGAATGAGGATTTTGAAGTCAGCGTCTCGTTACTCATGCAGTGCACAGAATCTCACACAACATAGAGCTGTGGGAGAGGAGTTCCCCGAATAGAGAAAAGTCTCGGTATTTCAGCACAATGCAGATAACACTTGCTACATGCTACATAGATAAGTTACCTCTTCTCTGAAAGGCCCAGTTGTTCCATCTTCCCACCACCTCCCACTAATAAGACCTCTAAAAGAACAAGACACTTAATCATTGTATGTGCATAGCACTCAGTTACACACTCAGTATATCAAATGTTGAAACTGAGAAATGTTATAAAAATAAACCCAATTTGAATCTTTATGCAAGCTGCACGTTCTATTTAGATTTAACACAACATCCCAACTTTTCAGGAACTGGGATTGTATTTGACCTCTATGTAATTCATCACTACCCATGCATTTCAACATAACTTAAATCTTTCTTATATGTCAGAGAACTTCACCAGATTTATTTTTGGTTGTCAACTTTTATCAACTTTAAGGTTTTGTATAAACAATAACATGGCCTCTAAAAGTGTTCCTGTTTTCCAGCTTAACACAGAATATAAACAAAGGTCTGCTAGTATATAGTGGCTGTATGAAATCATTAAGGTTTGAAAAAAATATTCTATTGATCAATTTTCACATTAAAAAAGAGAAACAAACAACCTGGGCAAACAAAGACGATATAAAAGAACAGTAGGGTTGAAAGTGTTTTTCCTGCATAGACAATTATTTGGGACCCCCCAAAGAGGTTTTACCCAGCACCAAAGGAAAATCAAGACAAAAAAAAAAAAAAGACAATTCAAATCCTCACTGAATCTATGTTTATGTATCAAATGACTGT